GGGAAGACAGTGAGTGTTAGCCTCCCCTGGCGGGAAGACAGTGAGTGTTAGCCTCCCCTGGCGGGAAGACAGTGAGTGTTAGCCTCCCCTGGCGGGAAGACAGTGAGTGTTAGCCTCCCCTGGCGGGAAGACAGTGAGTGTTAGCCTCCCCTGGCGGGAAGACAGTGAGTGTTAGCCTCCCCTGGCGGGAAGACAGTGAGTGTTAGCCTCCCCTGGCGGGAAGACAGTGAGTGTTAGCCTCCCCTGGCGGGAAGACAGTGAGTGTTAGCCTCCCCTGGCGGGAAGACAGTGAGTGTTAGCCTCCCCTGGCGGGAAGACAGTGAGTGTTAGCCTCCCCTGGCGGGAAGACAGTGAGTGTTAGCCTCCCCTGGCGGGAAGACAGTGAGTGTTAGCCTCCCCTGGCGGGAAGACAGTGAGTGTTAGCCTCCCTGGCGGGAAGACAGTGAGTGTTAGCCTCCCCTGGCGGGAAGACAGTGAGTGTTAGCCTCCCCTGGCGGGAAGACAGTGAGTGTTAGCCTCCCCTGGCGGGAAGACAGTGAGTGTTAGCCTCCCCTGGCGGGAAGACAGTGAGTGTTAGCCTCCCCTGGCGGGAAGACAGTGAGTGTTAGCCTCCCCTGGCGGGAAGACAGTGAGTGTTAGCCTCCCCTGGCGGGAAGACAGTGAGTGTTAGCCTCCCCTGGCGGGAAGACAGTGAGTGTTAGCCTCCCCTGGCGGGAAGACAGTGAGTGTTAGCCTCCCCTGGCGGGAAGACAGTGAGTGTTAGCCTCCCCTGGCGGGAAGACAGTGAGTGTTAGCCTCCCCTGGCGGGAAGACAGTGAGTGTTAGCCTCCCCTGGCGGGAAGACAGTGAGTGTTAGCCTCCCCTGGCGGGAAGACAGTGAGTGTTAGCCTCCCCTGGCGGGAAGACAGTGAGTGTTAGCCTCCCCTGGCGGGAAGACAGTGAGTGTTAGCCTCCCCTGGCGGGAAGACAGTGAGTGTTAGCCTCCCCTGGCGGGAAGACAGTGAGTGTTAGCCTCCCCTGGCGGGAAGACAGTGAGTGTTAGCCTCCCCTGGCGGGAAGACAGTGAGTGTTAGCCTCCCCTGGCGGGAAGACAGTGAGTGTTAGCCTCCCCTGGCGGGAAGACAGTGAGTGTTAGCCTCCCCTGGCGGGAAGACAGTGAGTGTTAGCCTCCCCTGGCGGGAAGACAGTGAGTGTTAGCCTCCCCTGGCGGGAAGACAGTGAGTGTTAGCCTCCCCTGGCGGGAAGACAGTGAGTGTTAGCCTCCCCTGGCGGGAAGACAGTGAGTGTTAGCCTCCCCTGGCGGGAAGACAGTGAGTGTTAGCCTCCCCTGGCGGGAAGACAGTGAGTGTTAGCCTCCCCTGGCGGGAAGACAGTGAGTGTTAGCCTCCCCTGGCGGGAAGACAGTGAGTGTTAGCCTCCCCTGGCGGGAAGACAGTGAGTGTTAGCCTCCCCTGGCGGGAAGACAGTGAGTGTTAGCCTCCCCTGGCGGGAAGACAGTGAGTGTTAGCCTCCCCTGGCGGGAAGACAGTGAGTGTTAGCCTCCCCTGGCGGGAAGACAGTGAGTGTTAGCCTCCCCTGGCGGGAAGACAGTGAGTGTTAGCCTCCCCTGGCGGGAAGACAGTGAGTGTTAGCCTCCCCTGGCGGGAAGACAGTGAGTGTTAGCCTCCCTGGCGGGAAGACAGTGAGTGTTAGCCTCCCCTGGCGGGAAGACAGTGAGTGTTAGCCTCCCCTGGCGGGAAGACAGTGAGTGTTAGCCTCCCCTGGCGGGAAGACAGTGAGTGTTAGCCTCCCCTGGCGGGAAGACAGTGAGTGTTAGCCTCCCCTGGCGGGAAGACAGTGAGTGTTAGCCTCCCCTGGCGGGAAGACAGTGAGTGTTAGCCTCCCCTGGCGGGAAGACAGTGAGTGTTAGCCTCCCCTGGCGGGAAGACAGTGAGTGTTAGCCTCCCCTGGCGGGAAGACAGTGAGTGTTAGCCTCCCCTGGCGGGAAGACAGTGAGTGTTAGCCTCCCCTGGCGGGAAGACAGTGAGTGTTAGCCTCCCCTGGCGGGAAGACAGTGAGTGTTAGCCTCCCCTGGCGGGAAGACAGTGAGTGTTAGCCTCCCCTGGCGGGAAGACAGTGAGTGTTAGCCTCCCCTGGCGGGAAGACAGTGAGTGTTAGCCTCCCCTGGCGGGAAGACAGTGAGTGTTAGCCTCCCCTGGCGGGAAGACAGTGAGTGTTAGCCTCCCCTGGCGGGAAGACAGTGAGTGTTAGCCTCCCCTGGCGGAAGACAGTGAGGTAGCCTCCCGGCGGGAAGACAGTGAGTGTTAGCCTCCCCTGGCGGGAAGACAGTGAGTGTTAGCCTCCCCTGGCGGGAAGACAGTGAGTGTTAGCCTCCCCTGGCGGGAAGACAGTGAGTGTTAGCCTCCCCTGGCGGGAAGACAGTGAGTGTTAGCCTCCCCTGGCGGGAAGACAGTGAGTGTTAGCCTCCCCTGGCGGGAAGACAGTGAGTGTTAGCCTCCCCTGGCGGGAAGACAGTGAGTGTTAGCCTCCCCTGGCGGGAAGACAGTGAGTGTTAGCCTCCCCTGGCGGGAAGACAGTGAGTGTTAGCCTCCCCTGGCGGGAAGACAGTGAGTGTTAGCCTCCCCTGGCGGGAAGACAGTGAGTGTTAGCCTCCCCTGGCGGGAAGACAGTGAGTGTTAGCCTCCCCTGGCGGGAAGACAGTGAGTGTTAGCCTCCCCTGGCGGGAAGACAGTGAGTGTTAGCCTCCCCTGGCGGGAAGACAGTGAGTGTTAGCCTCCCCTGGCGGGAAGACAGTGAGTGTTAGCCTCCCCTGGCGGGAAGACAGTGAGTGTTAGCCTCCCCTGGCGGGAAGACAGTGAGTGTTAGCCTCCCCTGGCGGGAAGACAGTGAGTGTTAGCCTCCCCTGGCGGGAAGACAGTGAGTGTTAGCCTCCCCTGGCGGGAAGACAGTGAGTGTTAGCCTCCCCTGGCGGGAAGACAGTGAGTGTTAGCCTCCCCTGGCGGGAAGACAGTGAGTGTTAGCCTCCCCTGGCGGGAAGACAGTGAGTGTTAGCCTCCCCTGGCGGGAAGACAGTGAGTGTTAGCCTCCCCTGGCGGGAAGACAGTGAGTGTTAGCCTCCCCTGGCGGGAAGACAGTGAGTGTTAGCCTCCCCTGGCGGGAAGACAGTGAGTGTTAGCCTCCCCTGGCGGGAAGACAGTGAGTGTTAGCCTCCCCTGGCGGGAAGACAGTGAGTGTTAGCCTCCCCTGGCGGGAAGACAGTGAGTGTTAGCCTCCCCTGGCGGGAAGACAGTGAGTGTTAGCCTCCCCTGGCGGGAAGACAGTGAGTGTTAGCCTCCCCTGGCGGGAAGACAGTGAGTGTTAGCCTCCCCTGGCGGGAAGACAGTGAGTGTTAGCCTCCCCTGGCGGGAAGACAGTGAGTGTTAGCCTCCCCTGGCGGGAAGACAGTGAGTGTTAGCCTCCCCTGGCGGGAAGACAGTGAGTGTTAGCCTCCCCTGGCGGGAAGACAGTGAGTGTTAGCCTCCCCTGGCGGGAAGACAGTGAGTGTTAGCCTCCCCTGGCGGGAAGACAGTGAGTGTTAGCCTCCCCTGGCGGGAAGACAGTGAGTGTTAGCCTCCCCTGGCGGGAAGACAGTGAGTGTTAGCCTCCCCTGGCGGGAAGACAGTGAGTGTTAGCCTCCCCTGGCGGGAAGACAGTGAGTGTTAGCCTCCCCTGGCGGGAAGACAGTGAGTGTTAGCCTCCCCTGGCGGGAAGACAGTGAGTGTTAGCCTCCCCTGGCGGGAAGACAGTGAGTGTTAGCCTCCCCTGGCGGGAAGACAGTGAGTGTTAGCCTCCCCTGGCGGGAAGACAGTGAGTGTTAGCCTCCCCTGGCGGGAAGACAGTGAGTGTTAGCCTCCCCTGGCGGGAAGACAGTGAGTGTTAGCCTCCCCTGGCGGGAAGACAGTGAGTGTTAGCCTCCCCTGGCGGGAAGACAGTGAGTGTTAGCCTCCCCTGGCGGGAAGACAGTGAGTGTTAGCCTCCCCTGGCGGGAAGACAGTGAGTGTTAGCCTCCCCTGGCGGGAAGACAGTGAGTGTTAGCCTCCCCTGGCGGGAAGACAGTGAGTGTTAGCCTCCCCTGGCGGGAAGACAGTGAGTGTTAGCCTCCCCTGGCGGGAAGACAGTGAGTGTTAGCCTCCCCTGGCGGGAAGACAGTGAGTGTTAGCCTCCCCTGGCGGGAAGACAGTGAGTGTTAGCCTCCCCTGGCGGGAAGACAGTGAGTGTTAGCCTCCCCTGGCGGGAAGACAGTGAGTGTTAGCCTCCCCTGGCGGGAAGACAGTGAGTGTTAGCCTCCCCTGGCGGGAAGACAGTGAGTGTTAGCCTCCCCTGGCGGGAAGACAGTGAGTGTTAGCCTCCCCTGGCGGGAAGACAGTGAGTGTTAGCCTCCCCTGGCGGGAAGACAGTGAGTGTTAGCCTCCCCTGGCGGGAAGACAGTGAGTGTTAGCCTCCCCTGGCGGGAAGACAGTGAGTGTTAGCCTCCCCTGGCGGGAAGACAGTGAGTGTTAGCCTCCCCTGGCGGGAAGACAGTGAGTGTTAGCCTCCCCTGGCGGGAAGACAGTGAGTGTTAGCCTCCCCTGGCGGGAAGACAGTGAGTGTTAGCCTCCCCTGGCGGGAAGACAGTGAGTGTTAGCCTCCCCTGGCGGGAAGACAGTGAGTGTTAGCCTCCCCTGGCGGGAAGACAGTGAGTGTTAGCCTCCCCTGGCGGGAAGACAGTGAGTGTTAGCCTCCCCTGGCGGGAAGACAGTGAGTGTTAGCCTCCCCTGGCGGGAAGACAGTGAGTGTTAGCCTCCCCTGGCGGGAAGACAGTGAGTGTTAGCCTCCCCTGGCGGGAAGACAGTGAGTGTTAGCCTCCCCTGGCGGGAAGACAGTGAGTGTTAGCCTCCCCTGGCGGGAAGACAGTGAGTGTTAGCCTCCCCTGGCGGGAAGACAGTGAGTGTTAGCCTCCCCTGGCGGGAAGACAGTGAGTGTTAGCCTCCCATGGCGAACGGTAGTAGCTGCCCCAGGAACTCCGAGGCTAGTTTTGACCAGGGGAGGAGAAGCAGAAGGGAGTGGAGAGGGGAGGAGAGGGAATGCATGCACGCATGTACGCAACGCATGTGAGTGTTGGCCTCCAGAGGCACGTGCCCCATGGTGAATGGTAGCAGCTGCCCCAAAAACTCAGAAGCCAATTGTGAAGCGGGGATAGGAGAGGCAGCACATGCAAGCACGAGGACGCAAGAGGAGAGTGACAGCATGACCGTGTTGGCCTCCCGTGGCACATGCCGCATCCATGGCATGGCATGGCATGGCATGGCATGGCATGGCATGGTAGCAGCTGCCCGAGAAGCTCCGAGGCTAGCTCTCACTAGGGGAGGGCGCACAAGGGAAGCAAAGGTGCATAAGCATAGGTTTAGGGCGATTGCACCCACATGAAGCCCACGGAGGGGTTGAGAAGGGCAGGAGAGTGTGTGTGTGTGTGTGTGTGTGTGTGTGTGTGTGTGTGTGTGTGTGTGCGTGTGTGTGTGTGTGTGTGTGTGTGTGTGTGTGTGTGTGTGTGTGTGTGTGAGTGAGTATGCATGAGAGAGTGTGACACAGGAAGGGGTGAGCGTACCGTAGTGGAAGGCAGTGCGCTCGAGGTAGGGCGACTGCACCCACATGAAGCCCACGGAGGGGTTGGAGAGGGCAGGAGTGTGTGTGTGGGGGTCGGACGAGGGGGGAGTACGTGCGTGCGAGTGTGAGTGTGTGAGTAGAGTATGCGTGAGAGAGAGAGTGACACAGGCGGGGGTCAGCGTACCATAGTGGAAGGCAGTGCGTTCGAGGTAGGGCGACTGCACCCACATGAAGCCCACAGACGGGTTGGGCAGGGCAGCGCGAGCGAGCAGCAGGAAGAGCTGCGGCGACACCCACTCGGATGTGGCGGCCAGCTTGGTGAGGTCCCAGTAGGCACAGAGGGGTAGGGAGCGGCCCAGCGACAGGTGGCTCCGACTGGCCTGTTGTGAGGGGTGGAGTGGGTTGGAATGGGGTCAGATGCAGTACAAGGAGGAAACGGGTAGGGACTCATTCAAGCAGGCACCCACTCTGCTGTGGCCGCCAGCTTGGTGAGATCCCAGTAAGCGCAGAGGGGCAGGAAGCGACTGGCCTGTTGAGAGGGGTGGCTGCGACTGGCCTGTTGAGAGGGGTGGCTGCGGAGCAGGGGAGGAAGGAGACGGATTGGCATGCGATGTCGTGCATAGTATGACGTGGCATTGGCAGAGGGTGTGACGTGGCCCAGACAAAGCGACGGACGGAGAGAGGGAACGCACGAGGATGTGGTTAGACATGTGAGCCAGCTGCGCCGCCTCTATGGTGTGGCTCCACGCATTGCCCAGCTGCTCCTAGTGGCTGTTACCCGATTACCCCATCACACACGCCCAATGACCCCACCACCCACCCACCTTGGGCAGCACGAGGGCGCAGTTGGGCATCGGCGCCAGGCGCGTGGCCTCGATGAAGAGGGTCTGCACGTTGCTCAGCTGCTCCCAAAAGCCGTGTACCACCCTGTCACACACTTACCCGGTTCTTTTGTTAACCTAGTGCTCTACCGCCCCCCACCCACCTTGGGAAGCACGAGGATGCGGTTGGACATCTGAGCGAGGCGCGCCGCCTCGATGATGTGCGTGCGCGCGTTGCTCAGCTGCTCCTCCGACATGGCGAACACCAGGTACCGCCGCCGCGGGAAGTCCTGATGCGGGAGTGGGGGAGGAGGGAGAAGTGGAGGAGGGGAAGAGGTGAAGAGCCTTTTGAGGCGCCTCGAAAACGGCTTCTTGGGCATGGCAAACACCAGGTGCTCGCGGCGAGAGACGTGCTACAGGGGAGTGGGGGGGAGAACGGAGGGGTGAAGACAAGCCAGCATCAGTGAGCATTAAGAGGCATGATGCATACAGAGAGCGTGGCGAAGGGCATGTGCGGCACGGGCCAGCACGCCTCAGGCCAGTCACCGCACGCTGACGTGGCAGCACCGCTGCCGTTTCGAATGCTGGCCAGCAGCCCGTCCTCCACCTCCCGCGCGCGCGCACACACAGCGTCGATCCCGGCGGTGATGTTCTCCATGCGCGTCTGGTTGTCCGCCAGCATCTGTCGAACGTACACGCTGCTCGTCAGTCGCGCCAGCACGCCGCGTTTCCACCCCTCCGTGCAGATCTGCCCCACACCGCCCGACTGCTGCCTCTCCACCTCTTCTTCTGGTAGCGGGACGGCTTTTAGCGGATCGTTCGGGAATTGCTGAGTCCCTGACGCGCCTGGATTTATCCGCCATACAAACGCGTTCTTTAAGGACGTGAAGGAGTTGGGTTTGCAGCTGGAACGGATTGCTGGGTCGTTGCTGCTGCAGTTACCCTGTAACTCGCGTTCTCTCGCGAGTTGAGCCCACTGTTGCAACGCGTTACAGAGGCTGGCGTTACAACTCGTAACCTTAGGCATTACATCCTGTACAGTGTCGTTTTTACTCGGAACATAAACGTATTGTGTATCGGAGTGACTGCGAAGGACATCCACGCATGAATCTGAGAAATTGAACTTCGTGCGTTTTATCTCGACGGACGCGAGCCAGGCGCTGTCCCGATCCTCGATATGAGTGTCTCCGATGAATTCAATAACAGCCGCATGAGGTCGACCGAAGGAGAGGGGAAATTCTACATATAAAAGGGCCTCGCATATTAGAATGGCTGCTAAGGCGAGAAGTACGGGAGTCGGTAGTGACAAACACCAAACAGGCCGCTTTAATTGCCAATTTACTAAGGGTTGGCAAAGGAGAGGTGTCTCTAATGTGAACGACGGCTCTTCCTCGTCCCCTCTAACGTCGTCTTGCGCTCGCATGATCACGATTTGCAAGCCTCGATTGCTTGTAAGCCCTTAGAAGAAAGCCTAAACACGAGGCGGAACCTAGGTCGTCACAAAAGGCGAAGTGTGTGAGCCTGCTATGACATAATTTTCAAATGTGAGGTGTGACAAAACTGCTCCGAGATAAGCGATCTGATGTACATGTACTGCGATCACCAGTTTAGGCGACACGCAGCTACAACCTTTTAGAAAGACTTGCTACTACAACACAACTGGAATTCCTGTGCCGTATGGTGCGGACTTACTAAGGTGAGTCGGAAAAGAAAGTGCGGTGCGTTGGTTTGCCTTGGGCTTCTGTCTCACAGGGAGTATGTCATGTCGCACCACGTCAAAGGCAGCTCAGGGAGCCGACTCTCGAAGTGTGCGTGTACGTTTTCAGCTGGTTTACAGTTCATTCTGTGCGGTTTATCATCTTACGTCACGGTGCCAAACGGTGAGAAATAGCAACCACTTTGCACCGTCTGGTATCGTTTGAAAACACGACGGATGAACTGTAAACAAACTGTAAATCTACGTGCTACTCGCCCTTAAAGCTCGCGGCCCAAATTGTACAACTTTACTAAAGTTGCATGTTGAGAGGTGAGGGAGCAGGGTTGGCTAGTCGAGGTGTTGGGTGGGTTGAGGGCTTTGGTTTCGCCCAACTTCTCGCCAATCTCAAACACATTTCGCTGCCTCAGTAGACCCCAGGGGCCACTTCGCGTTTGGTTGCATGAGTCCCATATTGCACAAATACCATCCTTGCCAGTTTCCCACCCAACCCCCTCCGCAAACACTGTTTCAATTTTGCTAGCCAATCAGCTCAGTGTTTCAAATTGACTAGCCAATCAACTTCCTTCGTACAACCCGTAACCTCAATTCGCAAAACCAGCACCTGCAAAACAACTATCAATCAACCTTACTAAGGTTGCCCAGCGCGGCCCGCAATTTGGTGCGCGAGCTTTAAGAATTTCGTCACTCGCGGGAACCACTCACGCGCTGAACGCGACTGGCTGACAGTAACGACTCAAGGAAGCCGTGCGATTGAGACACTACTCGGTGAATTCTTGTCTCCACGTATAACGGGAGGCATGTGCAATAAGCGGTGAGTGTCAGACAGACGGCGTTCAGTCCGGCTTGGTGTTACGAGTGCAATTGAGCGATCGAGCTAGAATTGCACTATCGAAGCAAAACAGTACAATGAGCGAAGGATTGAGCGATAACTAAATAGCGAGGACCACAGTGGTAACGGTAACGAGCTGTGGGTGACGCGCGACGGGCCTAGAACTAAGGTTGGGACTGTGGTTGGGAAATGTCGAGGCGGAGGCCCGGAGCGCGGGTTACACGCCGAGCCGTGAGGTCGGGGTGCGGCGTGCGAAGGTGGCGGGAGGATTGTCGAAGCAAGGGTTGCGAGTGGTAGCGGTGCTGACTGTGGTGCTACAGTGATGTACGCGCTGAGCAGGGGCGCGAAGTAAAGAAAAGGAATTTTCCTTACACTACCCCCCCCCCCCCCCCTTAAGGAGGACATCCTTACGAAAGCGCGTGTACATCCCTGAAGTTTCGGCTGCGCAGGTACTCGGTGAGGATAGGGTGACTCTCAATTCTATCCAAGGGAACCCAGTTGTCCTCCGTGGGCGTGCGGTCTTTCCACCGGATCAGAATTTCGATCCTACGAGCTCCCCGTGGGTCACGAACTCGGTGGCTCAAAATCTTTTCGGGTGAGATGATTGGCTCGGTGGGTGGTCGTGTCATGCTGGCTGGGCGGTTGCGAGGCAGTTGGCTTGTGGATGGCACATAAGGGTGAAGCAGGCTGACGTGGAAGGACGGGCTGACGTACCAGTAAGCAGGGAGGAGTAGGTGGGCAGTGACGGGTGTGATCATGTGGCTGATGCGGAATGGCCCGCAATATCTGGGGCGGAGTTTTGGGGGAATAGGCAGGCGGAGGTTCTGGGTGTCGAGCAAAACTAGGTCGTCGGGCTGGTAGGTAACAGGTCGGCGGTGTCGGTCGGCGTTTCGTTTAGCGATGATGTTCGACTTTTTAATTGCGTCTGCTGCTCGAGTCCGTGCTGCTAGTAAAATTTCGGCGAATTGTTGCGCTCGTGGCACCGGGTTGTCGGGATTCAGGGTCATGGTTACTGTGGGGTCTTGTCCGTAGTTCAGGTAAAATGGTGACTGTTGGGTCATGGCGGATGGCGAGTTGTTGTACGCGAACTCGATGAGTGGCAGTTGCTGTTCCCACATGCTTGGGTCGTCGCACGTGGCTCGGATGAGCTGCTCCATGGTCTGGTTTGTCCGTTCTGTCTGTCCGTCTGTCTCGGGATGGTATGAAAAACTGAACTGTAGACGCGTGCCGAACTACTGCCATAGGTTCCGCCATAAGTTGCTGGTGAATTTCGTATCGCGGTCGCTGATGATCGCTGTTGGTATCCCGTGCTGTCGAACGATGGTGGAGATGAAGAGGCGGGCTGTTTCTTCGGCTGTGATCGATTTCTTGCAGGCTGCAAAATGTGCCATTTTCGTCAAGCAATCGACGACGACCAGGATTGCGTCATTCCCACTCGCTCCGGCCGGTAACTGTCAAACATTATATATGTTATGCTTGTGTAGGCTACAGTGGGTTAGCCTATAGGGGGTACACAATTCTAGGGTTTCCTACTTGTACTCATTTCACTGCTAGTTCATTCATTTTCCTGTTCGCTTATTCTCACATGGTATAGAGCGGGTCCTTCTAAGGACCGTTTTTTTTGGGCCCACCGAAGCGCGCCCCGAGGCGCGATTTTTTTTTAGCGACCCCTCGGGTCGCCTTTTCCCCTGCGGCTCAGCCGCCTCCACTGACGCGGCCCCGCCGCCCTCCCTTACGCGGCCCCGTCGCCGGCTCTCACGCGGCCCCGCCGCCGACTCTGTCGCGGCCCCGCCCCGGCCTTTACGCGGCCCCGCTGCCTGCTCTCAAGCGGCCCCGCCCCGGCTCCTACGCGGCCCCGCCCCGGCCTTCACGCGGCCCCGCCGACGGCTCTGTCGCGGCCCCGCCCAGGCTCTTACGCGGCCCCGCCGCCTACTCTCGCGCGGCCCCGCCCCGGCTTTCACGCGGCCCCGCCGACGGCTCTCTACGCGGCCCCTGCCCCGGCTCTTACGCGGCCCTGCCGCCGGCTCTCTTGCGGCCCCGCCCCGGCTCTCACGTGGCCCCGCCGTCGGCCCTCTCCAGGCCCCGCCGCCGGCTCTCTTACGGCCCCGTCGCCGGCCCTGACGCGGCCCCTGCCCCGGCTCTCAAACGGCCCCGCCGCCGGCTCTTTTGCGGCCCCGCCACCGGCTCTGAAGCGGCCCCGCCCCGGCTCTCTTGCGGCCCCGCCGCCGGCTCTGAAGCGGCCCCGCCCCGGCTCTCACGCGGCCCCGCCGCCGGCCCTCACGCGCCCCCGCCCCGGCTCTCTCTCGCGGCCCCGCCGCCACACCTGCAGCAGTCGGGCAGCAGTGCAACCGAACCGCCCGGGAGCCGAGCCGCCCAACGCCCGAGCCGCCCAGTCACCGAGCCGCCCGGGACCCGAGCCGCCCTTCACCCGAGCCGCCCTGCCGCCGAGCCGCCCGGGAGCCGAGCCGCCCTGCGCCCGAGCCGCCCAGCCGCTGAGCCGCCCGGGAGCCGAGCCGCTGTGCACCCGAGCCGCCCGGTCGCCGAGCCGCCTTTCTGCAGAGCTGCACGACCTGCCCAGCCTGGTGAGCACAGTCCCACTGTCACTGCGAGCTCTTTCCCTACTGCTTGCACTGCGTCGCTGTCGTCGCCATGGCTACCCCTAGTGTCCTAGCTTTTGACGCTGAGGGTCGCGCCATTGATTTTGAGGTCTGGTTAGACGACCTGCAGCTGTTCTTACAGTGCGACAGGGCTGACGGCCTTTCTCTCTTTGACCTCACCTCTGGCGCCTCTCCTGCTCCTGCTGCTGATGCTGATCCCACTGTCCGCTCTCAGTGGGCCACCCGCGATGCTGCTGCACGTCTTGCTGTGCGTCGCCACCTCCCTACCTCTGAGCGTGCGCACTTTAGTCAGTACAAGAGTGCTCAGACCTTGTACGACGCTGTAGTTGCGCGCTACTCCTCCCCTGCCACTACTGCACTGAGCCGTCTCATGCTTCCCTACCTCTTTCCTGACCTCTCTGCCTTTCCCACTGTAGCTGACCTCATTACGCACCTCCGCACTAGTGACACTCGCTACCGCGCCGCCCTTCCTGCTGAGTTCTGCGCTAAGAACCCACCCCCCATGTACATCGCTCTCTACTACGTAGTCGCGCGCCTCCCTGACTCCCTTCGCGTCGTCAGGGACCACTTTCTCGCAGTCTGTCCCACCACCCTCACCGTCGACCTCCTCGAGAAGGCCCTCCTCGCAGCGGAGAAGAGCATAGTCGCTGTAGGTGCTTCTCGTGGTGACCCTCGCACCCCCATCTTTGAGGGGTGCTCTCCTTCCCCCTTGCTGCCCTCTGTTGCCTCTGCTGCTGCTGCCGACCTGCTTGGTCTTGAGTCGGTCGGCGCGGCGTCTGCCCCTAGTGGGAGACGTCGCTCCAGCAAGGGCAAGGGGGGCAAGGGCGCGGGTGGAGCTGGAGGGGGCGGTGGCGGTGGCGGCG